ATGAGATGACACATAAACACTATGATATTCTTCCCCCAAAATCCATAATCCCAGTCTAACCATGAGGAAAATATCAGACAAACCCAAAATGAAATGCTACAAAATACCTGACCAGTACTTCTCAAAACTGTCAAGGTCATCAAAAACAAGGAAAGACTGAGAAACTGTCATGGACCAGAGGCGGCTAAGAAGAAAAGATCACTAATTTTAATATGGTATCCTGGAAAGGATCCAAGAGTAGAAAGAGTACTAGAAAAAAAAAAGTGAAATCTGAACTAAGTATGAGTAAATAGTCTTAATTAATTGCCTTAGTTGTTACAAATATGCTACAGGAATACAAGATGTTAAAACAGGGGAAACTGGGTGATGGGTACACAAGAATTTTCTGTAAAATGAAAAGTATTCTAAAATAAAATGGTTTTTAAAAATTGGATTATGCATACCCTATGGCCTAGCAGTTACAGTCCTCAGAATATACCTAACAGAAATATATGTGCAGGTATATACCAAGAGACATACAGAAATAGCCATAGCAGCATTGTTTATAATTCCTAAGCACTGGAAAAGATCCAAGAATAAACCTGTAGTAGAACCAATAAATAAATTGTGATTAATTCATAGAATGAAATCCTACACAGCCATGAAAATACATGATCTGCAGATACATGCCCCTAGGATGAATCACACAAAGATAATCCATGAAAGAAGCCAAACCCCAAAAGATCATATACCATATAGTTCCATTTATAAAAAATCAAAGCTAAAAAAGTAGAAAACTGAACTAGTATACTGTTTATGGATGCAGGCATAAGTGTTAGAGCCATATTCTTTCTTTATTTTTGAGGGGGTAATTAAGTTTATTTATTTTAATGGAGATATCAGGGGTTGAACCCAGGGCCTTGTGCAAACTAAGTGCATACTCTACCACTGAGCTATATACCCTTCCCTCTAAAGTCGTATTCTTTAAATGGGGTAGGGGTAAGGAAGTCACTACCATAAAAGTCAGTTTAGGGTCAAATCTGCAGGGAGGGAGGAATTTGTAGTCAGGAAGTTTCCCGGGGCTCTGGGGCACTCTGAAGTAATGCGAATAGTATTAGTAACACTCTGTTCCTTGAAATGGTGATGGTTACATGGATGATCACTGGGTAATCATTGACTAAGATGCACACCTAAGTTTAATGCAATTTTCTATGTGAGTTATAGTCCATGCTAAAATATGGTTTTAAAAAGGTTAATATCACCAGAAAGACATAATACGAATATATTAGAAAAGCACCAAAAGCAAACTACTGTAAATAACCTTTTCATAGAGGGAGGAAAATTGCTAACAAGTATTTCAGAAAATGTTCAAACTTAAGCAGATACCAAAACTAATACAAACCAGGTGATATCACTCCACACTTATTGAAACTGCAAAAATAAGCTTTAAAGAATAGTATATGATGATGAGAATGGAATGGTGCAGATTTTGTTAGTGTAAATATTAATTGCTACACTCTTGGAAAGCTGCATGTCCACAACTATGGAGTAAAACATGCATGACTTTTCAATTATTAACTCTCTCTGGGAAATTATGCAATGGAAAGTTTCCCAAATACAGGAAAGAAAGTTTTGCGCATAATAGTAAATAATTGTCAACAAATGAAAATTTAATTATGATTAATGAAATAAATGCATAAGATACAGCCCACACTTGATTTTTCAGTCATTAAAATGATTTCTTCATACTGAGATATGCAACATGTGTATGGTTAAAAGCATATGGTAGGAATATAAGGATAACCAAGGAATTAAAACCTCTGCATAAAAGACGAGACAAAATATATCGAAGTATTAACCACGGTTGTGTTTTGGGTTTAGGATAACGCGTGGCAACTTTCTTTAATCAGAATATATTACTTAAATAAGCGGGAAAATAAAAAGGTGACAGAGGTATCATCAATTTGTCAAATCTCAAAGAGATAAAGAAATGAATGCCCCGCCCACTGTACTTGAATTTGGCGCGTGGGACCTCACTGGTAACCTCTGAAGAGAGCAATTTTAGGTCACTGCTGGGGAGGAGGGTGTAGGAGTGATAAAGCCTCGCTATTATGGGTGGAGGGAGCAAACATGCGATACTCTTTTTAGAGCTTTGCTAGGAAGAAGGGGAGAGAGAAAAACTGGTATCAGGGAGCACAGAAACTACAAAGTTTAAGGTTGGCGGTTTTGTCTTCGGTCTGGAGAGGGGCTTGGAGGCGGCACAGGCTGGAGAAATCACCGCGGAGCACAGGTGGAGGGAAGATTCTCGGAGTGAAGGTTAAACACCTGCTCCAGGGCAGAGAAGAGAGAGACCTGCCTGAATTCATCAAAGTGGGGATAATCTTACCACCTGACATCAGGAGAGTTAAGAAACGGAGCATTGCACCCGAGTTAAAGGCCACTCTAGGTCCACCCAAACTGGACTCCTTGCCCACGTGCGCACCCGCGTCTTGAGCTCTCCGCCTCCCCCACGTGACCGCGGACTTTAACGTGGAAAGTGACCTCTCCTGCCCGAGGTCATGGCCTGCGCCCTCCAGGCTGCTGCCTTCTCCACCCAGGGGGATCCTGGCAGCTCTCCTCTTGGGCTTCAGGCTGGGGTCTGCTTGCCCTTCCTGGTCTTCCACCCAGAATGAGGGCGCTGGAAAGACTTACGGGCTCTAACTCTGTACTTCAGAACCGGCAAAACACACGCACAGAAGAGGCCCATTCCATACCTCGGGTCACACAGTAGGCATTAGTGGGGAAGGTGCAATTCCAGCGCTGAAAGCCACGAGCCAACGAGGAAAAGGGAAAGGAAGGGCTCAACAGGTACCTGTTGTCTGATGCGAAGGGGGAACTCTGACCCTTTACGCCAAACCTCCCGCCTCCGCTGGGAGCCGAGCAAGCGCGCGGAGGGCTTCTTGGGCCGCCAGGAGTGGTTCGACCCTCGCCGCCAGGCCCAGTCTCTCTTCCCATTGGCTCGCCCGGCAAGGGGCTGCTCCCACGCTCCCGCTCCCCGCCTGGGTCTCGGATCCTCTTTACCACGCACCGCTCCTGGGAGAAGATACATTGTTCTATACAGGATCCTCCGTGTGCAGCACATCTGGGGGCACACAATCTCCTTCCTTTTCTGATAACCAGTAACGTGGAGAAAAGGGAGCCTGGGAGTTGGACCCTGGCTTCTGATGACCTTTCCTAGACGGGCTGACTCCTAATAAGCAGCAAGCCTTTATTCATCCCTCCCATAATTTCTATAATTGTTGAGCACCTACTTCATGCCTGACAATTTTCTCGGCCTTCTCTAGCAGGGAAGGAAACATCCAACATTTGGCTACTCATCCCCGACCTCCACGCCTCCCATGGAGCTTACATTCTACTGAAGGAGTACAGATAATGAACTGTAGTATATCAAATAGTGATCACTGCTAAGGAGAAAAACAGAGTTGAGTAATGGCCTAGTGCTGGAGGGTAAGGACCAGGGAGTGGGTCCTATTTCTCTCTGGGTGGAAAGGGAAGACACTGCTAAGGTGACATTTGCAGAAAGTGAGGGCATAAGCCATGCAGATATCCTGGAAATGGAGCATTCCAGGGGGAGGAAATAGCAAATGCAGAGGCCCTCAGGCAAGAGCCTGCCTGATAGATTGAGGAACATTGGAGTCAAATCAAGCATCATGGTCACCATGACTCTGGGTTGATATATGGATAATGCAATTTCATCCAAATCCCACAGGATTAGAACTCTCTTCTGTGAATTTATGGTCTTGGCCCCTGAAGACAGGGCTGTCAAAATTGGCTCAGACCCTAATAACTCTAGCAGCTTCAGGAATTAGAATCATCTAACTCTCTGATGAGAGAATTCGGATCAAATAGGCAAAAGGTGTGTCCCCTTAGAATGGCTTCCTTTTTGTCCCAATTACCCATCCTGAAAACCTTTTCCTATTGACATAACAGCAAGACTTGGGAGATTCTAGAGTTGCCTGTAACCTCATTTAAAGTAGCATTTCTCTAGCTGGAATCTTCAGGGAGATCTTTAAACCTTATTGGCAAAGTAGGAGCCAGTATTCATTGGCTTTAAGCAAATGTACTCTCTGGGCAACTGATACTAAGGGCTCAGGCAGGCTAGTTGGCAACATGGATCCAACAATCGTAATCACTATCAGGAATCAGAGCCCTAGATCATAAAGATTTATACAAACTCAAAAGGACAATGACAATGAACAGTGTGAGAATGAGAGAAAACAGGATAAACTCTCTTGGTTTGGCTCCAGCCTACTATATGAATATAATAGTCATTTGAGTATCGTGCTAAATGTTATATTCACAAGTACATACATCTTAAGAGAAGCTATGAATGTTAGGGGTTTTGGTTCTGAAACCATTTCTAAGATGCTCATAACACCATGAAATAGAACACTTTCATATCATGGAAAAATTAAAAACTGAGGAATATGTTAAATAAAGTTTTAGAAACCAAGTGTCCCAGGACTGTACCTTAGTAAAAATGAATTAGACATTTTTCATTTTTATTTAATTTATATATACCTGACCATGTTTCATTTTATGTAAATGCTTAAGTTTTATAATATCATGTATTTTAGTGTAATCTTTTTTTGTTTCTTTTCCCTTTTGATTTAGCTCTTCCTCTAAAAGGAACCCCTGGGAAGAATATGCTTGCCTTTAATTGCATTATTATTCTGTTCTGTCTTTTCTCTATTACTTTTGGTAAAATTTAATTTTCCATAACTTCTTTTCTTTTAAAAAAATTTTTATTCAAGTGTTGATTTGCATTGTTAGTTTCAGGTGTACAGCAAGGTGTTTCAGTTATACATATGCATAGATATATATTTTTTCTTTTCATATTTTTTCCCATTATTTGTTATTACAAGAAACTGAATCTAGTTCCTTGTACTATACAGTAGGTCCTTGTTGTTTATCTATTTTATATATAGTGTTGTGTGTCTGTTAATCCCTAACCCCTAATTTATCCCTCTCCCATGCCTTTTCTTAAAAGGCTGAATAATAAAATTAAAACGTAAGTCTTCTAATTAATAACTTCCAGCAAAAAGGCATCTCTGAAAATTTTTATAGCTATTTCCACAAGCCCCTGTGGCTGGAAGGAGAGACGCCATTCTTCTTCATAAAACTAATCTAATATGGTGCAAAGTGGAAAACAGTAATAAAATATCCATCTTATTTTGCTGTCCAATAAGGAGACCTGCATAAATATTCATAAACCTACCACCTTGTTCTATTTATGTTTATATTTGAAAGTGTTATCTGTACAGAGTACTCTTATAAGATACTTGGACTTTTGAAACTATTGTAATGCCCTGTGAAAATATCTTTAACATCTAAAAGGTATGAATGCTGAGTGATTGTAGTCCTTGCTCATCTGGTAATAATATCATAAATGACATCTCTGTGTTACTAAAAGGTAATGCAAGGAGATTTCTCAAATAAGAAAACTAGTCATTTTCCTTATTTCCCACAAGCACAGAGGTAAAATAAAAGTCGTAGAATTTGCTTTTTACTAAGAGTTTGAGAGACTTATAGCCCTCAATTTCCTCCCTCTCTTAACTCACATCAATCTTTCCCAATAAATAAACCATATTAAGCACATCAACTAACTGGAATATATCATTTTGTATTTTTTTCTCCATGCTTGTATAATTATACTCACAATAACATACTAAACACACACACTGAGTTACAAAGTTGGAATTATATTATCCTGGCTTTTTTGCATCTTAAATTCCTCACCCAACAAACAATTTTGTTCATTGACTATTGATGCCCTTCCCCATCGCAACTCTGTCCCACCAAATAGAATGGCTCCATAATGGATAAAGATTTTTATCCACTTAGTTTACCGTTGCATCTCCAGCACCTACAACAGTGAATGAGTCAATCAACACAACACCTTATGGATGTAAAAAGGGACTAAAGTGGAAACAAACATGACAAGTTGAAGGAAAAACAATTAAGCCAGAATGGCTAATAGGGGGGAGAGGGAACAGAATAATGAAATATGGAGTCGGAGAGGTAGGAAAGATGAAAAGAAAAGGAGAGAAACATCATATAGAGCCATAGAGATCACTGTAGGAACTTCGGCTTTCACTAGGAATAAACTACTGAGCCAACTGAGTGTTTTGAGCAAAGCGAATAGTCACAATTATGCTTTGAAAGAATCATCCAGGACCCTCATGAAGAGAACTGGAGTGGCAATAGCAAAAGCAAGGGACCAGTTAAGAGCCTATTATAATAATCCAGGTGAGAGAAA